CGGCTTTTGAGAAAATTGAATGCTTTTAGGTGCGCCTTATAGTGCGGAAAATACGGCACTAGCATCATACACAACCTGGACACTTCATCTGGTAGGTCACCACAATCTCATGACATCAGTAACACGGAGTTGTGATTGATACTTCATGGTGACTTGTGATTGTTGCACCTCCCGTGTGAGAATTGGGAACAGTTTTCATGATGATGCAGCGCAGTCTCACACTACAAACTACAATCACAAGAATAAATATTCAGCTAAAGGAGAACATGCAGTGTCTGTTAAACGAAATGAAAAGAGGCCAATCTCACGAACAAGAAAAACAATGGTCAACAATACTCAGACAAAATAAATACTGACAACACCAAAAGCTATCACAAGAAAAGCAACTATCAGCAAGAAGTCTACAAAAACAGCACTTGGACAATAACAGCAATCAAGAGCAATAACCTGACAAGCAGACAAAGAAGTCAGAGTCCTTAAATATGCTGGAGCTTGATTGCCTGACAAGAGACAGGTGCACCGCTGAATGGCCACGCCCAACTCTCCAGCTGGTGCTGAAACAAAAACAAAAAAACAAAAAACAAAAAAAAACAAAACAAAAAAACAAGGCAGAGCAGAACATGACAGGAATGTCGCTTAGGCCAGCCTGTGGTGCAGAAAAGGTCTCCCGAATCTGTTCAGTAGGCAAAATGCCATCGCATGTTAGCATGCTGCGCATGCCTTGTAGCCTGCGGACACTGACACAAAGAGCAAGAGTAACAAACCGGGGAACCATGCTCCCATTTTAAAAGATGACAGTGATGGTTTAGAAAGCAATATGCGCAGGATGTCGGTAAACTATATTGATCAATGAAATTAACCTTTTCATGTACCAATAATGATAACTTGTAACCTGATAAGATGATAAGCTGTCCACTGTCATTTACGAATGTGATTGCACTTTAGATTTGAATGAGGCAAAATAACATGCTTTTTCTCTCAAATATATTGTTACAGTGATCCCTTGCTATTTCGCGGTTTGTTTATCACGGCTTCACTGAATCGCGGATTTTTTCAAACATATTCGTAATTTTTTTTTTTTTTTAAGTCCGCAAAAAGTGCGCAAAAGGTCCATGAGAAGCAGCGAAAGTCAGCAAAACAACAGCGAGTCACATAGAGCAACATATACAGTACTGTACTACATGTATATGTTTACTGTATTTTGTTATTCATAAACTAAACTTACTTATACCTGTTTAAATTTATTAGTATACAGCATTAAGTCATGTTAATTACTTCAAAATTTACTTGAACATGCATGTATACCATTAAATTTGGCCTTATAAATATTATGTACATGTACCTATATGGAGGGGCAGGGTCGCTACTTCGCGGATTTTCATTTATCGCGGGTGGTTTTGGTCCCCATTAACCGCGATAAACGAGGGATTACTGTGTAATCATTTGTTTCAGATGTACTGTAATTATTTTCTGTATAAAAATTAATTTGGTGTTCAAAAAGTCTTTTTTCAAACTTGAGTCTTGAAAAAGAGGGGGTCGTCTTATAATCAGGGCCGTCTTATATTCGGGCCAATACGGTAATCGGGACAAACTTCAGCATTGCCCCCAAGCCCACCCCGCCCATCCGCCTACCTTCTGTTCAAAGTGAGGAAAGGCCTGATCGTGAAAGATATTAGATTATCCTGCGGCCTACAATCGTAATGTCCAACCTGGTTAATATTTACCCACAAATGTCAAAGTGAGGAAAGGCCTGATCGTGAAAGATATTACATTATCCTGCGGCCTACAATCGTAAATGTCCAACCTGGTTAATATTTACCCACACATAACGGAAAAAAAATGGCAACGTGATGTGCATGTACGACAGTAACGATCGAACAGGTTTGATCATTTGCGATTGTTAGCACCGACGGTTTAGCGAGCCGACCGGGGAGGTGATACCGCTCAGTGCTGTGAATGCAGTAACAAGCACCACACACAGGCATTCACTGTTTATCTTACTATAAACACACACACACACACACACACACACACACACACACACACACACACAAAAGAAAAGTATCCCTTCATTAGACCGAGCAGTCGATCCCTGAACTGGCCGATTGCTGAAGGCTGCAGCCAATAGCGGCCTTGTGGAAGTGAGATTTATGGGACGTAAGCAGCACAAATGTCTCCCTCCAAGCACTAAGCATTAAATATTAACTTGTGTGGAGGAGACAGTCTGCCAACACTCAGACAGGTCTGGTCCATTTTATAATTGGTAATGAAAGAGATCCAGCCCTTGGTTGGTGAACACACACATTACACTAATAGATTTCCAGAAATGTCACTCCTCACTTAAGTAATTTACACACACAGATTTTTTTCCAATATTATTATATTTTTTACATTAAAGACCCGGAAAAAGGTCAGCACAAGTCTTAATGCTCTTATAGTTTTTGGAGTACTCAACATGACAACAGAGCGTACCACAAAGATAAAACTGTCACGTAAAGATTGACGCTGGCAAAGCCGACTAAAGTGGATCATTTCGAACCATTACCCTCGGGAAATTTTTGTGGCAAGCGATTGTGCACTGCACATCTATTCACTAAGTGCATTGGAAAAATGGCCTGCATTGGGTTTTGAGGCTCCATATATACTGTACTTATTTTTTTCATTGAACCACAAAAACATGGTGCAGTTGTCAAGAAAAAGAGGCCCACAAAAAAGAGGAGATGGGAGAGAATAATGAGATGTTTTGAGCGGCCGTTGATAATGATCCTTTGCACCATCCATCGATTCCACAGGTGCATTTTGGTGACAGACTCTCCTATGCTTTGCATTCTTGCCACAGGTACGTATAAAGTTTAGAATATATTTGAGTGATACTGTAAATAAATATGTATAAACATTACTGTGTATATTGTATTGGTACAGCTTGGCAACCATATGCCAGTGTTCACAAACTGAAAAGCTGCCAACAGAAGTGAAGTATCAGACCCAAGTGTGATTGCTTTTAAACAAACGCAACATATAAAAATCGGCAATAGAGTTCACTTCATATGTTAAAAGTCAGATTCCAAGGATTTGTCAGCGCCCGTAAAAATCCATATTCTCATTCGTAATATTTTCTGTAATACATAACGTCACATCCTGCTAGTTGTCAGCCACAGTTTGATTAAAAAATAGGTTTTCTACTGTAGTACTATGGACGTTTTTTGTTTTCTTTTTCTTTTTCAGTGGCTTAATTCATAATCACCATTCATAGGTGTTGTAGGTGCATGCAAATAACTTTTCGACTCTTGCCTGCGTCACTTCTCGGACGCGCCACAACAACCGGGGTTCTTCCTGCTGCTGCTTGGGGTTGAAGTTGTTGGCATGCAAGCTGGTTTCAGCTTGGGCCGAACTATACGTGTACCCAAATTGTTGAAGTGCTAAGCATGTGAAGAGCAACTGAAAATGAAAGGTAGACAATGCATGCCACAGTTGCCACTAAATTGTTTGTCTTCTATGACGCCAGAGCGTCTGATTGGCTGAAGAAAAGGAGAGCAGGAAGTGTTTTAATTGCCGAAGGGGGTGTGTTCTTGTTCGTACTGCGGTGCAGCCTTTTGCCCGTTGTTAACATTGAGACATCCATCAAAAACTACGAACCCCTCAACTCTTACAACGCATGGCACAGTTGCCACTTACTTGTTTGGATTCAATGACGCCATAGCTCTGGAAATACCTGAAGATAAGGGGATTCGAGATTCAAACCCCAGACGACACATTCTGAATTGTACTTAATAATAAAATTGCTGTTCACCACATTTTAATGACAGTTGTACAGTGTGAATGGGTTCCATAAGTCTCAAGAAAAACGTTTCCATCTTCGGTCACTGATCTTTAAACACATCTATTAAAATAGTAATGAAATGTCCTGACTTGACTTTAAACGCAAATACAGTAGCCCATGATGAACCAACACCATGGTCTGATGGGATTATCACTATCGTGAGTCATGTGAGTTCAGAGCCAAGAACGTGTGAGGGAATTTCTCACCTGCTGCGTGAATTAGCAAGTGCACGCCGGTGCTGACAATGACAATTCGTGTCAGTCACACGAAAACATACACATGGGATTGTGTGCAGAAATATGCCCTGATCCCGAAAAAAATACAATTGGTTTATTTGCTGATTATTTTTGTGCGTTTTTATTTAATACGATTTTTATATACTGTATATTGGGTACTGTTGCAGGCATTCACCTTTGTTTTAGCAGTGTACGATCGCCACCGTGTGGCTGCAGATTGTAATTACAAATTTCGTTCCGAGTATTGCAGTACGACTGTGATGGCTTTGCGGTCCAATTTATGTAATTGCAGTACTGACTGGGTTCTTTGTTTATAGTATGAGTTTGTCATGTGATTGCTTTATGGGCTTATGTATAGCCTCGTAGTATTTTTCAAAAAAAATGTTAAAACTTAGCATCTTGATCGTGACAAATGCGACAAAGGCGCATTTGCAGTGATTCTGGAGAGTTAAAGGGTCAAGTTTTTATTTTGTGGATGTTCTATCCATTTTTGTTGCACAAATATTAACAAATAGGTGGAAATTGAACTTACTAAATACTATATGGATGTTGCACAAACAGAGAGAGAGAGAGATAGTGTATCATTCCGAACTAAAAGTAGCTGGTTTGGGTTTGGCTGTGAGACAAGAGAACACAGAGTTGGTAAAACCAGTTTAATCTTTTTCACAAAAACAAAAAAAACCCATGGAATGACAATTTCACCAAGAAGACATGGGAAAGGCCTCGGAGATGAACATGAAGACAAAAATGCTCAAACAATGAAAAGTAAAAAGGTGAACTTGGAACATAAATGGAGAGAAATCGCGCAAGTAATTGGGGTGATGTTTCCATGTTGAACCGACTGCAGTACAACGTTGACTCGCTCAAGGGGATAAAAAAATTTATTTTGATTTTTATATTCATATTTCATCTGATATTTGAGTACAAATAATGGAAATTATTTAAAAAAAAAAATAAGAAAAGAATGGAAACAGACAATCGACTGCAAACAAGCCCATACTATTGCATGCCAGTCACCTGTTGTTTAATTCAAATTGAGAGAAAAGTTTGGAAACAGACAAACTGCGTTGAAGATGGACAACATTAAAAATGGACACCGAAAGAAATGCGTCTTCTTCATTACGACGTTTCCATTTGAGCTGTTTCTGGGAGGGGACAGAGCAGATGTACATTGTTAACATCTGGCACAATTCAGAAAACGTCTCCTTTCAAGGTGTCCGAATCAAACATGATCCATCCATCCATTTTCTAAACAACTTATTCAGTCTCGCCTATCCCAATTGACTTTTGCCAAGCTGTGATCACACGGCACGTACAGACAAACAACCATTTCCACTCACATTCACACCTATGGACAATTTAGTAACATTTAAATTTTCCCACCAAATGTTATCAGAATATTCATGAAAATCTGACATTTTTACTGAAATTATATTTCAATTCACGTTTTAATTTGCTTTATTCTTTTTGAAAGACACATGATCCAACACCATTTTGGTCTATAAATAGTTCCTTTAAAGGGTTATTTGAACGGTGAAATTGAAAGCAGTGAAGTACTTCCAAGATTCGCAAATAGTCAATTACTTTATCTCATTAAAGAAAATGAAATTATACCATCATGAAGGATAAAACAAGTAACACTACTAGTTGCAAAAGACAAAACAAAAGGATATTCACGAACAAAATCTGTGGGTATATTAGGAAATAAAATCTCATTAGAAGTCTAAATGTGTCTGTCGTTCCACATTATTTGCTTCAATTTCACTTTTTTTCTCATGTAAGACAATATTGCATGCTGCTGGCGTTGCTCACGTGTTTCGTTGAAGAGGAAGGACTCCTGGTACTCCTTCATGTACTGAGAAGATCTGGCCTCATCCAGGAAGAGAGAGTAAACCTTCTTTATATCCTCCACTTGGACCTCTGTGCCCTAAGGATGACAAAAAAAAGACACGCTCACACAATGAATCCAATGCCTACATTACTCACAAAAAGTTTGGGATATTGGATTTCGGGTGAACTTTCAAAATGCACGATAACCTTTATACTTTAATTGACATTGTCTAAACTTTGGAATGGAGCGGTTCTACGTCTTTCTGTGACTCCTCCAGTCTCTGCATATCTCTGCTGCGAGATAAAACCATGCCCACTCAGTTCAGTGGCCACTTGCCTCTGAAAAGAGACTGTTGGAAGCATGCTGACCAATTGTTAGGCATCATTTTGATCTAATGACGTCAACATGTAAACAGCAACGGCGCTGAGGATTGTTTTCATACAATTCTCACTGAATCAGCCAACGTATTGGTCAATTCATGAATCAAACACCGACAATGACTTGTGCCGTTGAGTTCAAAAGTTGCACAGAACGTACTGAAATATGAATCAACGCCATGTTCAAAAGCTTCGAGAAGGTCAAATTCAGCGCATGAGGCAGACTCACCTTGCGCTTGCGGCACACCAATCCGGCCGTGCTGATGAGCTGCATGGCGTATCGCAGTGACGTCTCCATGCCGATGCGAGTCAGGACCGTGTGAGCCTCCTCGCTCAGCTCCACATCCTCCTCCTCACAGCTAAGAAACGACAACACGTAGACGTGGTAAGTGACGCGAAGTTGCTGGTGAATGACGAGCCAAGATCCTCACCGGATCTTGAGGATTTGCTTTGTCTCCTTTTCGGTGTAAGGGGAGGTGGCAATGATGAGCAGGCGGTCCAACAGATCCAGGGGGATGCCGTGAGGGCTCTGGTAGTTTGTGCCACGGATGCTGGGATGAAAAGAGGAGATAAGCATCAACAGCTTACTTTGTCCCCTGAGGGGTTAAATGTACGAGGAAACACACGAACAAAGCCAAACCACTCAGACCATAGGACTGAAATAAAATGTTAAAACAACAAAGTATTTGGTTATGTACTAGGGGTGTGCAAAAAAAGAGAATCAATTCACTCAAGTATCTGCATTTTATATGCCAAGATTCAATAAATTGATGTCAAAGTTCCGAATCGATTTTTTTCAAAAAGCAACGGTGAGCTACCACTTTCTTCCAGCAGATGGCAGCACAGAGCCAATTTGTTGTAAGCATTTACCTGAATCACACTACGTCATTCAAATGAGCCAGTGTAACAAGTACGTTCAAATGTATTTACGAGGACGTTCAAATGTATTTGCGAGTATGTTCGCACGTATTTGCGAGTACGTTTGAACGTACTTGCGAGTACATTCAAGTGTATTTTCCAGGTCAAATATTTGTACTCCACGTTGGCACCTCCACGCTTCCATTTTTTTGGACACTTAAGACAATGAGGAAAAAAGGTAACACACAACAAGAATACCGAGTGATGCCTCTATTGGTGGCCATAATGAGAACAGGGGATAGGTCACTCTCCAAGGCACGGTTCAGGAAGGAGAAACATTCCATGTCTAGCATGTGCACTTCGTCGATAAACAACACCTGGGAAAAAAAATAAAAAATAAAAAAAAGGGGGTGCAGTCAGTTAATATAATGACCAGATACATAACTAGAATCCAACTCAGTAGAGCACAAACTTATCTTAAAAGGAAAAAATAATAAAATATATCCCACGATGCATTGCGCTGATACAGAAAAATGATTTTCGGCATCGTTGGTATTATGGCTTGAGAAAAACAAATGTATCAGCACAATGCACAAGGACATCGAGTTCTTTGTTTGGCGTGAATTTATAAAATACAATTTTTTTTTTGACGTAGTTATTTTAAATGTTCTGTAAAGTGCTTTATTACACCTGCAGCGGTTGTGAAAGCACTATAGCTATAAAGCTGTGTTGTATTGTATTCCCTTTAAAGTAGCCCCATCTAGTGGATGCATAACGCAACCGCAGCCACTATTGTAGCTTCTATTCAATGTGCCTTATAATGCGGTGCACCTTATATATCAAAACAGTTTTAAAATAGGCCATTGATTGAAGGTGCGCCTTATACTCCCAAGAGCTTTACAGTGCGGAAAATACGGTATATGGTATTTAAATTTTGAGTCCAAGCCATTTTCATTTCTTCTTTCAGGTTGGTTTTTAAACTTTTATATCACTGCAATTTTGATACCACATTTATCACTATGAACTTTAATTGAATCATTGAAGGAGCTTTCCATTTTCTTATATCTAATGTAAACTACCAGTCAAAAGTTTTGAAACATTTTCAAGCTATTGAAAGGAGAAGGGTCTCCAAACTTGTGACTGGTAGCGTACATGTTAGGAGTAAAACCTTGTGTTTGATAACACTTTGGCTTACTATGCTTCTATATTTTAAATGTTGGTGATGATGGTGGCACTTGGAAAGACAAGCATTTTTTTCAAGGTGGTACATGGTACAAAATTTTTGAGAAGCACTGCTCTAATTCTTTCAAGTGACCAAATACCATTGGCGTTGATGTTCTGTGGAAAATGTTGCTGTATAATGAGCATCTGTCCGAACTAGGTCAATAAAGCTACTAAGAGTTTCGGATGCTAATGTATAAAAGGGCCAGTAATACACAATAAAGAGTTCCGCGTACCCCTGGGATGATCTCCGCTTTGCCCTCTTCTCGCCATTCGCAAACTTTAGCATTGATCTGCTCGCGGACTTCCGACTTGATTTCGCCAGTATCTCCGGAGAAGAGGGCAAGGAAGCCCTGCGTGCGGCTGTTGATGACGTCGATCTCATGCAGGGACACCGTGTGCACCACCTCCTTCCTCTTCTGCAGCTCGCCCTCTGGACACTGCACAAACTGAGTCTGCAAAGAAAGCCATTACGTTTGCAGTTGAAATTGGTGAACGTGAATAGCTGTGCTCCGGTAAACAATCAAACTATCCCTGACATAGTTGGGTCATTCTGCTTTTATTTTGGGTAGATTTCAAATATTGCGCTGGTACCTGAGCTCCCATGGCATCATAATCTCTGGCTCTGGTGAACGAGCGGCCCAACTTGCTGATTTTGCCAGTGGCTTTGTCGATGGTGATAACATCACTGGGAGGAAAAAAGGAAAGGGGGAGGGAGTCCAAAAGACCTGAGTGATGGGATACTTTGACACAACAGTGAAACAGAGCAGAAAATAAACCTACCCGGCTTGAACCTTCTCTTTGCTGAGGCTGTCAATCATCTTGTTCCCCAGGTCATATATTGTCTCCATCTCAGTAGTCTTTAGAGTCAACTTGCCAACCTTGGCACCCTAATAGATCAAGTATATTTGTTTTGTTTAGGGTATTTATAATAAAGGTGCCATTTTCCTATCATTGTACCAAAAGTAATGGTTCACTTGAAATAACAAAGAGAGAAAATAAGCATCATAGACCGGTACAATAAATCCGGTGAGGCATTTAACCAACGAGACCATGTTTTGCTTAATATTTCATTCATAAAGACTACACATTCTGATTTCAGAAATTAAATCATAGGAAATGTAAGATTTTTTTTTTTTAAGATACAATTATTGTATTTTTCGTATGCTTATTAGGCAATAATATTATTATTCATGAAATTACGAAACACGGTACAAAATGTGATTTTGGACCGAATTTTTCATTCTTAAATTATTGTGACATTTAGCTGTATAGGATATTCTCAAAGATATCTGAATAGTATAAGGGTCGCACTGACAGGAAAAAAAATCTGACATAAGCAATACTAATGTGTCACGTGAGAGGTGAAAGTCTGCTGCTGCGGCTACTCTACTTGCACTGTTGTGCTGATGTTCGTGTGGGAATTTTGAATTTTCCTTTGGTGTTTTCACGATTGCAGTACTGTGACACTATCATTGTCGGTAACAAAATCATTGATGTGCAGAGGGTCCTTGGTCCTCTTACAACGGTCTAAATATTTCATTGTTACAAACGGCGTGCGTATTAAGAATACATCATCATCACGCGGCACTAGAAGAAGACATACTCATTTACTCATGTAATTTACATTTTTCATTTGATTGTTTTTCTATTTATGAGCTTCAGTACGGTTTTTGTCCAAGAAAAGTATACTTAACACACCGTTCCGGTGGCGGGTCGATCAATCTGGATTTCGACAACTTCTCCTTCAATAATTTCCGTCTCCTCCCTGTAAAAGAAAGCCACCTATGCATAACGGCAACTTGATTTCAAACAAGTACGGTGTGCACGTTGGCCCACTCACTTGATCCGCACTCCAATGGCTTTTCGAAACGCTTGGCTGAGTGCCTCCGTCTTGCTCATCTCCAGAGAGAAGATCTCACTTCCAGCCAGTGCTGTGAATGGGGTGTCAGGGCCAAGGCTCTGAGCAATACCTGTGCATGAATTTTTCTTTAGCTTGGGTGTAGAAGTACAATGGCAGAGCAACACTCTCATTCTTCTTCTCTTCAGCTCTCACCCATGGCGATGGCAGTCTTTCCAGTGCCGGGCTGGCCTGCAATCAACACTGCCCTGCCAGCTATGTGGCCATCTTTAATCATCTCGAGGATGACCCCTGCTGCCCGTCTGGAGGCCAGCTGGCCAACCATCCCCTGAGACACCTGCAGGGGAACAGTAATACTTAGTTATCCATCCATTTTCTGTACTGCTACCCTGCATGAAGGTCGTGGGTAAGCTGGTACCTATATTAGCTGACATTGGGTAAGAGTCAGGAAGCCCAATTCAGTGCACATTGTCAAGTAAAAAAAAAAAACAAATCCCCCCCACTATGTTGTGAGTAAACAGGATTTCCTGCCTGAACTGAAACTTGAAATATTATTGCCTGCGTCCAATAATGCAGAGCGTCTTGTGTACGTATTAAATACAGAAATAGCACCTGTCTTGGTTCCAAAGCATCATCCAAACCAAGGCCACGGATGTGAGAATGTGCACCTAATGACAAAATAAAATTAAAACAAACATAAATGGTTATATAAGGCTGTTGGACTGCGGTTTAGGTACAACGGCTTGGACCAAAGAATCTCTGGAAATGCACATTCTTACCAATTCTCTCAATCCGAGTGATGTCACGAACCTCTGGAACTTTAGTAGTAGGAGTAGTAGTAGTCGCCATCTGTAATCAGTAAAAAGGCCAATGGAAATAGAGAGTGAATAGAAATAGGAGTGCATAAAATAAAGGTTATACAGGAAGCTCAAAATGTCCAATTTTGGCTCAGACTCTCTTGGACTAAAACATCTGGCCTCATTTGAATGACAGAGATGAAAGTGGACTTTTCTGAAAATTCCGGAAAAAATAAAAATAAAAATTATATATAT